CGAGGGGAAATGCGCCGTGGCCGCTGCTGAGCTGTGTCTGTGACAGCCAGCACCCCCACATGCCATAGCGACCCATACAGCCCTGGCCAGGCCCCCCTGTGCCCGGGCCCCATAGCGGCCGCCTGGGTCGCTATGGCGATTGTTACGCCACTGCTTTTACATAATATCACATGTAAAGATGAGAGAAAAGGTTCAGTGCAGGAAAAAACACTTTTGATACATTGTATATAGAGATCTATAAATCAGACCAAGAGGGGGGACAACTGAGGAGCAAAGAGAGGGAGCGGGGAGCCATGCTATGCACTAGACATTTATCAGCACTAGACATGTAAACTGCGGAAATATTCGGTTTGGATATTTCGTTATTTCGGTATTCGGATCCGAAATTCAATTCGGTTCGGGTTTCGGATTCGGACAAAATCCTAATTTTCTTTCGTTTCGGATGAGTTTACGAATATTCGTTACGACCACCACAGAAAACCATATACAGATATTATTACTAAAGCTGAGGCTCCCAGACCCGAATGGCATTCAGGATCCGAAATTACGAATTGCATTCGGGAGCTCCAGCAAGCAACACGGGTCTGGGAGCCATATTAAAGCTGAGGCTCCCAGACCCAAATGGCCTTTGGGATCCGTTGTCTCCTATTTCACTTTTCTGGGTCAGTGGAGTCGCTGTCTTCTCTGAAGGATGACACGGGTCTGCTGCTTTCTGTGAATTTGGGAATCGGCATCTTATGTGCAGAAAGTATGTCGGGTTTTAGGGGTTTTTTGGAAACATTTGGCGCTGTGTAGTTCCTGCCTTACATTTGGTGGGGATCGGTGTCACTCTTTCGGAAGTGGAAGGAACTCTATACCGGACATTCACTCCTCTCACTCTCTGTCTCTTTTCCTGTCCAGGTTCTCTTGTAAACTTCGGTGACGCTGATCACTACCAGTGGTTCGATCCGACGCTCTGGCAGTCGGTGGGCTCCATCGATGATCTGGAAAATGGCAGATTTCTCTTTTCTCTGGACACAGAAGGCGTCCCATGTCAGAACGACGATGTTATTTTTTCCTCTGAGACATCCTTCCGGGTCCAAATCCAGGAGCCAGCGTCTGAAATCCAGCTGAAAAGCATTTCTGTCCTGGGGCGGGTATGTGGAACTTGATAGAAAATGTGACCTTAGTCCCCTAGCATGTCCCCCTCCTTGCATGCTATAGCTCTCTCCCCTGGGAGTGTCTAATTATTGTCTGTGCAGTCCCAGCTCCTCCACCCTTCCATTCACCCACCTTTTATTTGGCAGCCATGGGCAGATTGAAGGGAAGTACTATGGACTGTCACTTGAGTGACAGCTCTGAGTCTGTTGGGTCTGCTGTCATCACATCCAAGATGGCTGCGCCCAGCAGCAGTCTCAGGGCTGTTGGATGTCTACACAGGAGAGGCTTTTACAGGTAAATAATCTGCAAGAAAGTTTGTGACGGGATTTTACAATGTGACCATGTTTCATGTTACAGCCTGAATGTGGGTGCATCATGAAACATGGTCAGTTCTTTAATCCCAGTGGCAGGAAATTACCACTCAGCGCCTGCAGAGGGCGCACAGACACCACACTGAGCACCTTGGATCAACCAGTTGACATCCGCGGTGTTAAACCCCCTTCCCATCCAGGCCATTTTTCAGTATTCAGCGCTGCGGTACTTTGACTGACATTTATTCCGTCATGCAGCGCTGTACTGAAATGAATTTTATACCCTTTTTTGGGGACAGATAGAGCTTTCTTTTGGTGGTATTTATTCACCACTGGGGGTTTTATTTTTTTACTATATTAAGGAAAAATTACCGAAATTTACAAAAAAAAAACAGTTTCCCCTATATTAAATGATAAAACATTTATTATTACCCAATTTTTTGGTAAAATATAAAAGACGGGGTCACGTCGGGTAAAAAGACACCAAACATGTCAAGCCTTAACATTGCGTGCGTGCGCGCGCAAAACCTCAAAAAACGATATTGGGGCACCGGACGCGTATTTACGTTTATAGGCGCGTAAACGTGGGGGTGGGGGAGTTAAACATTTTGGGGGTTTTTTTCCCCTTTTTTTATATGTTACTTTTATTTTTTTTAATTTATATTTATTTTTTTGCACTTATTGTTATTGCTATTATATAGGGGGATAACAATCCCCCTATATAATAGCAAAGGCACACTGACAGGTCCTCTTTATGGAGACATTAGGGGTCTCTAGGACCCCTAATATCACCTGTGGACCCCAAAAGAAGCTGATGAAGCAGAGATCTGCTTCATCAGCTTCTTCTCTCTGGCTATAGCAGCCAGATGACTGACAGGTGAATGCGGAAGTGATGTAATACACATCACTTCTGCATTCACAGCCCGGAGGGAGATCAGCAAGGAGCTGATCTCCCGTCCTCCTCCTCCTGATGCCCTCTGAGACGAGCACATATAGGCGATCGGCGGGTTACATGCATTTCCAATGAAATGTTGAAGTTAGGATTTAGAATGGACGGCTTTAACATCAGGTGACCTTGTTAATGTCTGCTGGCAACGCATGAAAGCGCGCATTTTGATGCATTGCCATTGACTTTTATGAATCTCCGAATGCACTAAAACACACAATTTTTTTTTTCTAAACACAGTGCACTGCAGCGGTGTGATGGGAACAAACACTATTTTTATTCACACGGGAAGGGACAGGTAGAGTGTTACATTTGCGTGCAGACTTCTGTGCCTCCCTGTGGGATGATGCGCATACATGCTGACCTGAACCTGCACATCCATGCAGGTCCGGGTGCCTGCACTAGAACGCACACTGTGTCTGAGTGCAGGCAGACCTGTGCGCATGTGCAGGTCACCACGTAGCAGTTCTCTGCATGGGTGTGCATGGCTGTGTGAATGAACCCTTTATAGGGAAGTTGGACACACTCATGGTGCCGTAAGCTGGATTCTTCCCTCTGATGCATTCTCCATTGAAGTGAATGGAAGTGCATCAAAGCGCATGTTGAGGTTTTTACAATGCAGTGCATTGTATTGGATGTCAATGCGCACTGACGTGCGCCGTAGTGCATTAGCGTGTCATAATGCGTTAGCATTCATCTTATGGGTGCTGAGATGCGTTTTTATTCATTTCTATTGATTTCAATGGGAAACTCATCAAGTAAAAAAGGCAAAAATGTGAATGGAGCCTTAATGTTTTTTTTACAGCTCCGTGATTGGACGCTACCATTCTATTAAAGGGTCAGTTCATCCAACTTTGTATTAAACGCCTACGCATCTGCTGTGTCCATTATCAGGGGCACCCACCATCCCTGCTGGACCTAATTTTGTTTTATATTATGGACAATGTATCCAGAGGAGCCGGAAAACACACAAAGGTGGACGGGAACACCCGAAACTCCCAATAGCCATGAGATCTCACTGTTGGAGATTCCAAGACTTATAAGAGGCTTCAGGAGGGGGGGGGGTTGCAGACCACCAGTCACCACCTGTATACAAACGTTACTATTGGGTGACCTGCCCCTTTAAGAATGCAGTTCTTCTTTCTATATGTTTGAAGTAGCTGCGCGGCTTTGTGTCCCGGTATTCTGGATGACATCCATCTAATCATTCCGCCCGGTATCCCTTGATGTTACCCGACTGTCTGCGCTGACTTGTCCGCTCGCTGTCTGGCAGGTGACTCATAATGAGCGGCCTCCCAGCGCACCTCTCAGGTTTCTAGGCGTTCCCTTGTCTTGTAGGATTTAATTAAGTATCTGATTTCCCCGGCTGATACAATAACACATTCATGTCTCCTGCTTGTCTGGTTAACCATCTCCTTACGGAAGGTGGGAGCTCGTGCCACAGAACTACAAGTCCCAGCATGTCGAACTCGGGTCGCACAGCAGCTGTGGAGGTTATTAAAGGGCGGCTGCCACTGTTCATCTACGTTTAGAAAATGCTAGTTTCTGACCACCTACCTCCGGTGCCTTTTGCATTACCCACTTAGAATATGAGGGGGTCTTATCAGTCCCTGTCACATTTTACACTCCATTGTGGTGCTTTAGCCCTCATTCACACTGGAATCAGCCGTGCTGCGTGCAGGGCCGTACCGAGCAGCTCCCGGGAAGGACAGGTGCTGCGTGTGATTAGTACGCAGCCCCCGTCCTTCTCTATGGGAGTACGCGGCCATGCGCCCCCTACGCTCACCCACCCTGCACATCCGATGGATCCTGTCTGCGTTCAAGCCAGAAAACACGCTCCCCTACGGACCTGCACTTGAGGTGAGCGTAGGGGGGGGCGTACGGCCGCGTATTCTATTCAAAAACTTGATGCGTTTTTGATGCATTCCGTCGCGTTTTCGATGCAGCTAAAATAGTGCACGCAGTACTTTTTCTGGCTGCATCGGAACGGACTAGTCTGGTGTGAGCAGAACAACACAATCCCATTGGAAATCATTGTGCTGCGTTTTTGATGCAGCTCAAAAACGCAACGGACTGCATCTGGTGTGAATGGGCCCTTACAGTGGTTTTAAAACTTTTGACTTTTCCTTTTAAAATACATAGAAGACGCAGCCACTGATATAAAGCCGTGTTAGGCCTTTTGGCTAAGATCAAGTGTAGTATCTGTTCTTATCAGTTGTTGGAGGGGAAAGGATGCTGCCACCTATGGAAAGGGGTGGATGCGTCCTAGTAGCCTTTGACGTAAAGGTGGGTGTTGGATGGGGTTCGGTCCACTGCTAGTTGCGTCAGGCCCTGAGTGTCGGGTAGACCCCAGGCAGAGAACCACAAGGTCTGGCCGGAGGGTTGGGAAGCCCGTGGTGATGTGCCCCCTGGGGGTGGCGTCCCAGGGGTGCTCAGGAAGTCACTTAGGTATGGGACCCCACTTTGACTCACCGTGCACATGGACACACACCCGTAAAAATAAAAAATAAATACTTTTTTTATCAGTACTATCAGTATCAGTACTATTAAAAAAAATACAAAATCATTTCTTCAGTAAAGACGATGTTATTGCTGGATCAGCAGGTCATGGCCTTATGTTTGTAAATTGCTATTGTCCATACAGAAGGCCAATGGCTCATATTTGTAAATTGCAACACTTTCCATAAATAAAAAGGGAAAATATTTCAGATTTTTCTTCCTGTCGGAAAGCAGTTGCGGAAATTCCCAACATCATCCAGTATTGGCAGCAAATTCAACCTTCTGATGTCATTTCTTTGGATGGAGTTGGCGTGTTTTCTTTTTTTTTACTATGTGTTCTGTCGCCTAACCCAACCAATAAAATGTCATCAATATTAATATCAGAGTATTTATGTTGCCTATCCGGTATGATAGCAGCCATACATGATACATGAAGATCTATGTTCTTTACGGAAATGTAGAAATTCATCAGCGTCGCTGAGTTTGGCGAATACCTGGCATCGCGCACAGGGAGGCTGCAGTTCCCGGGTCCGGCACAGCCGCAAGTCACCAACATGAAATGCCCGGACAAATCTGGCTGCTTGTGTGGCAACGAAAGGGTGAGGAAATGGCTTATAAATTGAACAATGTGTGCTTCAGACAACCCCGAAATTGTGCTGCCAGGAAAATACATTTCTTTCTTTCTTTCTTTTTCTTTGGAAGATGCGGCAAGAAATATGTTCTGCTTTGCTGCAGCATTCGGGGAATAAATGCCCCGAAGTGTCCTGTGCCAATCCTCTCGAGCCGATTGGACATTGCTGCGGTATTTGTGGTAGGTGGACGTACAATATCCGAAAGGAAAACGGCAGTTGTGTGTTTTATTCTAAATATACTGTGTGTGTATATATAGTATGTGTGTATATATAGTGTGTGTGTGTGTGTGTGTATGTATAGTGCGTGTGTGTATGTGTGTGTATATATAGTGTGTGTGTATATATAGTGTGTGTGTATATATAGTGTGTGTGTGTATATATAGTGTGTGTGTATATATAGTGTGTGTATATATAGTGTGTGTGTATATATAGTATGTGTGTATATATAGTGTGTGTGTATATATAGTATGTGTGTATATATAGTGTGTGTGTATGTGTGTATATATATATATATATATATTAGTGATGCACCGACACCGGTTTTCTGCTACAGAGTACGAGTACTGATATTGTGAGTGCTGATATCTTGTTTTCGGTACTCGCCGATACCAAATACCAGTAACGGAAGTCACATTAAGGAAGCTGGCCGGCGTGTAATGACTCGCCACCCAGGCTTCCTGATACCGGAAGTTCCGATATCGGGAAAAGCATCGGGATTATTCGGGCGAGTACTCAGCATCGGCACCGATACCAATACTAGTATTGGGATTGGTGCATCCCTGAGATATATCTGTACCTGTATGTAGCGTTCACTTCCAAACCAACCCTTTCCTTTGCCGATGTTCGCGGAAACTGCTGCCAAAATTTGCTTCATTTGTTAAACTGAATGGTGCAAAAATTTAAAAAACTGCTCCAGTATGTCCTTATAGATCCAACGTTTCCACCACTGGGCACTGCCATCTCGCCACCCACACAGTGTACAGAAGGTGAAGCCAAGCTGTCCATCACATGACACTTTGGCCCTGACGGCCAGCGCCCTCTGGGTATCAGCGATCAGGAGGGCGGGTTACAAATGGAGAGCTTAACTGTTGACAACTGATGAAAGTCAGAATTTGCATATCATCAGCAGCGCTGCTTAGTCTGTATTTTCGGGGAAGGAATATGTTTGGAAGCAGCTGATGGACAGGCTGGTGGAAGGAAGGGGTGAACTTTACATTGAGGTAAAATCCTTTATTCTGTTGGTTCCAGGTGCCATCATATCGCTGGAATATACATCAGAATTTGACTTGGAGGTGTACCGCAGCCGGCTCATCCACACCTTCCTCAACCTGGTACAGTGCACGTTTCAGTTATTTTTCTCTCTCTCACTATGAATGACATGCGGCGGGAAATCTGCTGGAGCCAGCTCCATGCCGCTAAGGCCTCAGCTAATGAGCAAGGAAGACCATCCACCCCTTTTATCGTGAGATTTACCAGGATCTATGTAACGTGAGGGGCTGCTGAAACCATCAACACCCCCAAAACCAAATCCATATCATTTTCATCCCGACAGATAGACCCTTGCGCCACATAGTCCTTGTACAATATATTGCCGGATCATGGTTCTTTAGCTGCAGCACCCAAGACAAAAGGCCAAATTGTGCCCAAACCCTCCCCTTCCCATAAGCTGTTACTCACTTCAACAGCACAGGATGCAGGTCCTGCCCTTTTTGCACCCCCCCTCCTGCTGAAGCGCCCCAAAGTGAACTCCTGATCTGCTTAACCCTCCACCCGGCCAGTCTTGCTATGGATGCGTGAGATCTGCTACCTATTGGACTACTAAAACAAAACAAAGAGTGGGATTTCTGTCTTTATTGCAGTCTGTGGCCCTGTTGGGTGGATGGTCACTGGGACAGGAAGTGAGGGGGGATCCCTCCGGTGCTGACACAGGGAGTCATAAATCTTGGTTATGTGTTTAGATGAAGCACTGAGATCTTGAGGAAGACTGCATTAAGTTTTACTTGCTTAGCAGGACATTAGATGTGTGTATACAGGAATACAGCATTATCAGGAAAACATATAGACAGATAGAACTTCCTGTGTATAGATAAATATGCATAAGCCGTGAGACTAACATTGCACTGCAGCGCCATCTAGTGCTCAAAAGACAGAGTTACAGTACGTGCTGGTGAATTTCCTACAATAAAGTCCTGACAGAAGTCTAAATCCTTCCTCGGTTCTAAACAAAGCCTCCCGGTCCACATACACCTTCCTCTGATAGTTATAAATGGACTGATCTGCTGCCATTTTGGAGGAAAGCAGCTGCCTTTATCAACCAATTAGAATCCACGTATCATTTTGTTCCGACAGGGTTATTAATAAAAGCAATCCGACGGTTGTGAGGGTAGCACCTATGGGGATGGGCCCTGCAAAAATAAATAACTAATGGAGGTTCCAATGTTTTGTCCATCCATAGGATAAATATTTGGAGGTGAAACTGGCAGTTTCTAAAGTGCAGCCTTTGGCATCAGCAATTGGTGGAAAGTCTCTCCGCTCTGAGCCGAAGATTCAGATTGTGTGCGCTGATGAGAAGATGGGGTCCAACGCTGGAACGAGCGCCCTGCTGCTGGGACGTGACATCATGGAAGACATTGAAAGTCACGGTAAATGTGTGAGAAAGACCCCTTAGATCATAAAACTCCACCCCACACCGGTCCTCCGTTGTGCCCCGCTCTGTGCGGTACATCATACTCCGCTTATGGCGTCAAGTGACACGAAACTCCGGAGTCACATCTTAAAAATGTATTCAAGTCCCTTAACTATGAACAATGTCTCTTATTTGTGTATCACTCGGCTGTAGATCCTCCAATCATCTCTGAATTAGTGCTGACACTGTCCTTCCTTCTGGAGGGGGGCTACTTGTGTTCCCCATGGTCCCTGTGTGTGTTGTAAAGTAGTCACAGCTCCAAGCTCGCTCCCGGGATGGACTACAATCTCATGTTTAGTTTACTAATTTGTATTGCGATTGCAGTCCATCACAGGAGTGAGCTTGGAGAGGTGACTACTTTACAACACACACAGGGACCATAGGGAACAAAATTCAGACATCTCAACTCTCCAGGACGTTCCGGGAGTCTCCCGCTATATGATAGCGGCTCCCGGACAGACGGGAGAGAGAAACATATTATCTTGGAAAAGTTTACGCTGCTCTACCTAGCGGAGTAAACCTTTCCCTGATGTCTGCTTAGCTATTCATTCCTTTGCTGTTTTTTTTATTCTGATGGCAGCAAGTGTCGGAACACTAAAAAAAACAGCAAGGGAAGCATTAGCTTCTTTGCTATCTTCCATCATTTCAGGGGGGTGCTCTTTTAGCCCCAAATCTCTCACCTCCCCAACGCATCCCTAGTGTCAGACGTTTGTCAACACAGCACATGAACTGCACAGGCGCTGGGATGTACATGATTGTGTTATTTCTGGAATATCAGCCCAGGAAGTAGATACTACTGACCTTGGATGGTGCCTGAACAAAGCAGTTACGTGCGGTACCTCATATTCCGGATGAGGCATTCCCCGCCCCCTATTTCTTCTGACTACACGTGGCACGCATTTGGCTGCGGTTCCATTGACTTCAATCTGTGCAGAAAAAAGACCGAAACATCTTACAGAATGAGCCGTAGCAATATTTTAAAGTGTACGTTATGACATGATGGCAGACGTTTTATTTTACCAATACAGGACAATCATTTGGCATTGCAAAGGCAGAATTGGACTTTTCTACTGGCGCTACTACCAGCACCCAAAAAGGATCTCTGTCTTCTGCCGGCATCGCTGGAATAGTGCTGGCGATCGTCATTTTGGTGTCACTGCTCGGCCTGGGGTACTTCCTGTACAGGATGGACGTCTTCAGGTAAAGAGTGCGTCAGTCATGGTCGGAGGTGGAGTGGGTCAGTCATGGTCGGAGGTAGAGTGGGTCAGTCATGGTCGGAGGTAGAGGAGTGGGTCAGTCATGGTCAGAGGTAGAGTGGGTCAGTCAAGGTCGGAGGTAGAGGAGTGGGTCAGTCATGGTCGGAGGTGGTAGAGAGGGTCAGTCATGGTCGGAGGTGGTAGAGAGGGTCAGTCATGGTCGGAGGTGGTAGAGAGGGTCAGTCATGGTCGGAGGTGGTAGAGAGGGTCAGTCATGGTCGGAGGTGGTAGAGAGGGTCAGTCATGGTCGGAGGTGGTAGAGAGGGTCAGTCATGGTCGGAGGTGGTAGAGAGGGTCAGTCATGGTCGGAGGTGGTAGAGAGGGTCAGTCATGGTCGGAGGTGGTAGAGAGGGTCAGTCATGGTCGGAGGTGGTAGAGAGGGTCAGTCATGGTCGGAGGTGGTAGAGAGGGTCAGTCATGGTCGGAGGTGGTAGAGAGGGTCAGTCATGGTCGGAGGTGGTAGAGAGGGTCAGTCATGGTCGGAGGTGGTAGAGAGGGTCAGTCATGGTCGGAGGTGGTAGAGAGGGTCAGTCATGGTCGGAGGTGGTAGAGAGGGTCAGTCATGGTCGGAGGTGGTAGAGAGGGTCAGTCATGGTCGGAGGTGGAGTGGGTCAGTCATGGTTTCGAGCATCTTGCTCAGTATTCATCTCCTACTTGCCGCTTCTCACTGAAAAGTGACCTGAGGCCCGTGATCTTATAGCAGTGTTGTAGTGGGACTAGAACACAACGTCAGGGAAGGGAAATTTCGGTAGTTGTATTCCATACCCAAAAACCGATATCGGTGCATCCCTACTATTTACTAACAAGGGGATAGAGACAACCTCTTACCTTCTTTATCTTCCAGTGTTCAGGACCTCTTTGTATCATGAACCATGGCCAGATAATAACATGGCTGAGTTGTTTTATTATTAGATTGCCCAGTTCGCGATTTTTTTGGTCCCTGCGGAACGCATCCCGCTTAGAGGAGACTGAGCCGGTCGACAACATGGGGTTCAGCAACCCAATTTTTGAGCCCACAGTAGAAAATGAGGAGGTGAGATGTATGTATGTTATTGACGTGTGTGATATTAGTAGCTCAACAAAACTGTATCTTATTTGTGTATCACTCGGCTGTAGATCCTCCAATCATCTCTGAATTGGTGCTGACACTGTCCTTCCTTCTGAAGGGGGGCTACTTATGTTCCCCATGGTCCCTGTGTGTGGTGTAAAGTAGTCTCCGCTCCAAGCTCCCTCCCGGGATGGACTACAATCTCATGTTTAGTTTACTAATCTGTATTGAGATTGTAGTCCATCACAGGAGTGAGCTTGGAGCGGTGACTACTTTACAACACACACAGGGACCATGGGGAACAAAAGTAGCCAGGAACAAGACCTGTATTGAATACTATTGTGCTATTGTGCACTACATGGGTTCATTTTCATCCAGTGAGAGTATGAGGTCTCTAACAGGGTTATGCACAACAGGGAGAAGAGTTTGGAGAAAACAATCTAGGACAACAGAGCTGATTTGGAAAACTTCTCCAATTCAGCTCATTTTCCAGTTCAGCTATGTTGTCCTAGATTGTTCCCTTCTCCTGCCTTCTGCAAACTCTTCACCCTTTTGTGAATAACCCTGTAACAGTTTAAAAGTCCCTAATGGAATGACCCCTCCAACAGAGTTAGTCTGGGCATTGGGTGTGGTGGTATTATCCTTATTGGTTGTTTTAGAGGTTGCCGTCTCACGCCCTCGCATCCAGCGGGCCAGCTGTATGTCTTTGGGCATGATGGTGACCCTCTTGTCGTGGATGGCGCAGAGGTTGGTGTCCTCGAAGAGCCCTACGAGATAAGCCTCGCTGGCCTCCTGCAGAGCCATGACAGCCGAGCTCTGGAAGCGCAGGTCGGTCTTGAAGTCCTGGGCAATCTCGCGGACGAGGCGCTGGAAGGGCAGCTTTCGGATGATGAACTCGGTGGATTTCTGGTAGCGTTGTATCTCTCGGAGAACCACAGTGCCGGTGGTGAGGCTTCTTTCCACTGGTGCACTCATGCGGGCGGCTTTGGTAGCCAGCTGCTTGCAGGGAGCTTTCCTGCCGGTGGACTTCCGTGCTGTCTGCATGGTTCTTACCATTGCAGTTCAATAAATTTCTCAACAACACAAAACATCTTTCCGTATTTTGCTGAACAGATTCCTAATATTCTCTCCCCCAACCTGATTCCCACTTTGGCACAGTTATGGTGACTTTATCTCATTAACCTGATTCACACTTTGGACTGCGCATCTAACTTATGGTGAATTGATCTCATTAACATATATAAATATATGAATATTTGACATTCATTATAATAAATTATATCAATGACATGGAAGGGCAGCTAGTGGACCATAATGCTTTTGGGGTGCCATAAGAAGTCTCCCTAACTTAAAGAGGGCGTATGAATGGCTAGGACCCAGATTACATTTGTCCTAAGGTTCCTTCCAAAGCAAGAGTTGTTGGTTCGCTCTTGAGTTACTTGGTGGTTGACTTTGGCTGACCATGAGGAATTCTAGTTTTGGCTGGGTGGACACATGTGCCTTGCTCTTATCAGAGCGGGCTTCCTGAGATTTCTCTTTAGGAGGCTTCATTCTGTCTTCTGGGCTTTTCATGTTACGTGTATCTATATATTAAAGCCATCAATGCACCTTGATAGGGATAGATCGATAGTTACATTATTATCTTTCATTCTGTCTATCTCTCTATCTATTGTATGTAATGGTATGTGTGGGTGTGGGTGTGTCCACTATAACAATTGCCCCTGGTGTCAGCTAAAAGGTTGACCTCTCCCACGGTGGGAGCAGAGGTATTTTTTTCACCTCCTGCCCACCAATCCCCACAAGAACAATTGCTTGCTTTGGGAGGAGCCTTATAGGGACATTTCATCTTGGTCCTAGCCATTCATACTCCCTCCTTAAGTTAGGGAGACTTCTTATGTCACCCCAAAAGCATTATGGTCCGCTGTGTAATTTGCATATTCCAGTCCAAATGTTGATTTTTTTTTGGTCCACCGTTCTGGTTTGCACAAACTTATCTTCTCATGGAATATGCATGCTTCTATCCCTATCTCCTTCCTGTCAGATAGATAGGAAGGAGATAGAGATGAGAGAGAGGATAGAGAGATGAGAGAGAGTAGAGAAATGAGAGAGAGAGTAGAGATGAGAGAGAGTAGAGATGAGAGAAGAGAGTAGAGATGAGAGAGAGAGAGAGTACAGATGAGAGAGTACAGATGAGAGTACAGATGAGAGTACAGATGAGAAAGAGTACAGATGAGAGAGAGAGAGAGTACAGATGAGAGAGAGAGAGTACAGATGAGAGAGAGTACAGATGAGAGAGAGAGAGAGTACAGATGAGAGAGAGAGTACAGATGAGAGAGAGAGAGTACAGATGAGAGAGAGAGAGTACAGATGAGAGAGAGAGAGTACAGATGAGAGAGAGAGAGTACAGATGAGAGAGAGAGTATAGATGAGAGAGAGTAGAGATGAGAGAAGAGAGTAGAGATGAGAGAAGAGAGTAGAGATGAGAGAAGAGATGAGAGAGAGTACAGATGAGGGAGAGTACAGATGAGGGAGAGTACAGATGAGAGAGAGAGAGTACAGATGAGAGAGAGAGAGTACAGATGAGAGAGAGTATAGATGAGAGAGTAGAGTAGAGATGAGAGAGTTGTCGGGCCCCTCTGCCTCTGGGTCGGGCCCCTCTGCCTCTGGGTCGGGCCCCCTTATGCTTCTAATAATGTTCACAGATATAAAAGACACACATGGAAAAACCTTTATTTACAGACTTAAAGTGACATTACACCCTCAGTACTGTAAAGAGAAAACAGAAATATTACAGCTGTTACCATAACATAAGCTGAGGATACGTTTTCAAGTCTTCCAATGCTGACGGCTGTTCTAGTGACAAGTGTCAAAAATATGATTTCCTTTCATTTGCGGTTGTTTCTCCAAGACAGGAAATGCTCCCCAATGGGACTCACAGAGTCAAAAGACTTGACAGATCTTTCACAAAACAACTTCAACTACTTTATACCTGTAAAGACATTTGAAATATCTACTGCACCCCATAGGAAAGAGCCGTGGCGTCTATAGACACGTGTACAAAATATGTGTACAGTAATACCTTGGTTTACGAGCATAATTCGTTCCGGCAGCATGCTTGTAATCCAAAGCGCTTGTATATCAAAGCGAACTTCCCCATAGGAAATAATGGAAATTCAGATGATTCATTCCACAACCCAAAAATATTCATATAAAATGATTACAATACTGTACTGTAATATAATACTGTACAAAATATAAATAAAAATAAACCAATTACAGTTACCTTTGTGGCCGGTGTGAGAGGGACAAGAGAGAGGAGGATTATTGTGTAGGACGACTTTCACTATCACTAACGGAATCACTGCTATCTCTTGACTCAATGGAATCTTTTTCATTACGTGAAACCTTAACAAGGAATCTATCCAATGTGACATTGCATTGTCCTTAAACAGACTCATCGCTCGCACTGCTACAGCCTTATTCGGGTGGCGCTTTTCTACAAAATTTTGCTCTTATTGCAAGACATTTGCTTGTATATCAAGGCAACATTTTTCATAAATGTTTGCTTGTCTTGCAAAACGCTCTCAAACCAAGTTACTTGTAAACCAAGATATTACTGTATTAAAGTCACGCTAATCTTAAATACATTGATGTGTCCTAACTATGAGCAACAATGTCTCTTCTTTGTGTATCACTCGGCTGTAGATCCTGCAATCATCTCTGACACTGTCCTTCCTTCTCTGGTTTGCCATATTGTCTTCCAGGCTGGCCCAGGATTCCAAGCCAAATCTAAAGGCGATTTCTCCCCACGTGCCTTTGTGTTCTCCAATCCTATATTCGATAGTAACCTCGACGTGTAAAGAATTGGTTAAAAGAAGATTCACCAAGAAAAAGCTGAACAGAAATGATTTGTAACCAGGATGAGAAGGATGAAGGGGACCCCTGGAGGCCCCAAAAGCACCTGCAATTTGAAATGTCAACTTCTCATTAAAACAGACTTTTGCTGATCACTTTACCTGGTGCACTGGTGACACTCGTGATATTTGTACGGTATTGACAGCGGCATCCGTGGTCACTGCGAGCACGCGCCTGTACACAGGACATACGGTCACTGCGAGCACGCGCCTGTATACAGGACATGCGGTCACTGCGAGCACCCGCCTGTACACAGGACGACATGTGGTCACTGCGAGCCCGCGCCTGTACACAGGACATACGGTCACTGCGAGCACGCGCCTGTATACAGGACATGCGGTCACTGCGAGCACCCGCCTGTACACAGGACGACATGTGGTCACTGCGAGCCCGCGCCTGTACACAGGACATACGGTCACTGCGAGCACGCGCCTGTATACAGGACATGCGGTCACTGCGAGCACCCGCCTGTACACAGGACGACATGTGGTCACTGCGAGCCCGCGCCTGTACACAGGACATACGGTCACTGCGAGCACGCGCCTGTATACAGGACATGCGGTCACTGCGAGCACCCGCCTGTACACAGGACGACATGTGGTCACTGCGAGCCCGCGCCTGTACACAGGACATACGGTCACTGCGAGCACGCGCCTGTATACAGGACATGCGGTCACTGCGAGCACCCGCCTGTACACAGGACGACATGTGGTCACTGCGAGCCCGCGCCTGTACACAGGACATACGGTCACTGCGAGCACGCGCCTGTATACAGGACATGCGGTCACTGCGAGCACCCGCCTGTACACAGGACGACATGTGGTCACTGCGAGCCCGCGCCTGTACACAGGACATACGGTCACTGCGAGCACGCGCCTGTATACAGGACATGCGGTCACTGCGAGCACCCGCCTGTACACAGGACGACATGTGGTCACTGCGAGCCCGCGCCTGTACACAGGACATACGGTCACTGCGAGCACGCGCCTGTATACAGGACATGCGGTCACTGCGAGCACCCGCCTGTACACAGGACGACATGTGGTCACTGCGAGCCCGCGCCTGTACACAGGACATACGGTCACTGCGAGCACGCGCCTGTATACAGGACATGCGGTCACTGAGAGCACGCGCCTGTACACAGGACATACGGTCACTGCGAGCACGCGCCTGTATACAGGACATGCGGTCACTGCGAGCACGCGCCTGCATACAGGACAAGCGGTCACTGCGAGCACGCGCCTGTATACAGGACAAGTGGTCACTGCGAGCACGCGCCTGTATACAGGACAAGTGGTCACTGCGAGCACGCGCCTGTATACAGGACAAGTGGTCACTGCGAGCACGCGCCTGTATACAGGACAAGTGGTCACTGCGAGCACGCGCCTGTATACAGGACATTCACTGATCCGGTAAGGAGTGCAGCAAGATACAACCTTTATCTAATACAATAGTCATTGTGATACTGCGCTGTGCACTGATACAGGAGACCTTCCAGTGACCACAATTACTTCTGGAGGGGTGTCGGGGGACACACGGGGTGAGTTTGTTGTAATTAACTTCAGCTCTCTGTGTACAACCCTCAGCTACGGACCAGAGAAATCGTTACATTACTGCTATAGAACCTGTTTATTCCTCAATAACAAAGTTTTTTTTTTTGGACAAACAGGGCGGCGTTCTGTAGTTGATACCTCGTATAGGAAGACCACCAGCAAGCAGAAGATTTAGTCAAATCCTTGTGTTCATTATCAGACACTATGTCACCCTGATGAAGGGACCCTGCGTGGTCCCGAAACTTTGGCTGTATTGATATATGTGAAGCTGTCCCATAATAAATGAACACAGGGATTCGACGAAATCTTCCGCGTGCTGATGATGATCTTCTTCCTATACAAGTTTGACGTGCACGGCCCCATCCGTGATCACTGCGACCACCTCCTCTTCATCCAAGGACGTGAGTGCTGTAAGGAGTGCGGGGGACACGTCTGCACAGCTTTTCCTGATACCGCCTTGCAAAAATGTTGTTTTTTATGCAATCCATAGACAAAAAACAAACACATTTTATCTACTTTGATCAATGTTTAAGCATTGTTACTGAAGATAAAAAGTATCCATTTTATTCTATGATT